CCTGCCTATGCAGGGGGTCAGACTCGATGATCTCAAGCAAATCCCGGGACGTCTCAAGCAAATCCCGGGACGTCTCTCAAGCAAATCCCGGGACGTCATTCTCCCCCTGTACTCGGCCTTAGTGAGGCCGCAGCTGGAGTACTGTGTCCAGTTTTGGGCTCCACAATTCAAAAAGGATGTGGAGAAGCTTGAGAGAGTCCAGAGAAGAGCCACGTGCATGATCAGAGGTCAGGGAAGCAGACCCTACGATGACAGGCTGAGAGCCCTGGGGCTCTTTCGCCTGAAAAAGCGTAGGCTCAGGGGTGATCTGATGGCCACCTACAAGTTTATCAGGGGTGACCACCAGCATCTGGGGGAACGTTTGTTCACCAGAGCGCCCCAAGGGATGACGAGGTCAAATGGTCACAAACTACTTCAAGATCGTTTCAGGCTGGACATAAGGAAGAACTTCTTTACTGTCCGAGCCCCCAAGGTCTGGAACAGCCTGCCACCGGAGGTGGTTCAAGCGCCTTCATTGAACACCTTCAAGATGAAACTGGATGCTTATCTTGCTGGGATCCTATGACCCCAGCTGACTTCCTGCCCTTTGGGCGGGGGGCTGGACTCGATGATCTTCCGAGGTCCCTTCCAGCCCTGATGTCTATGAAATCTATGAAACTAGGGCTCCTGGCTAGTACAAAAAAATGTATGAAAGGTAGGAGACAATGGCACCTGCTCCATTGTCCAGCCCAAGCCTCTGCTCTCAGCCAGTACTAGCTGCCATTTACCACAGCAGCACCTGTTGCTATCCCTCACTCCCATCTGTAGGCTGCTAGGAACAACTAATGGTAGTGAAGACCCCCCTGTCCCTGGGCCTGTGACCCCCAGCAGGGGTTCAACCCTCTCCAAATGCCACACAGGCTCTTGGACAGTGCAGAACAAATACATCTACCAAGGGGGCATATGGTAACTTGCTGCCCAGGCTCAGGCCCTCCTGTTCCTCTCCCTTTATTCTAGGCTACCTCCACTCAGCACAAACTATGGAGAAAGCTGCAGAGCACGACTGAGCTACTGGAAGCAGGGGAACAGCCCCTGCCACTCCACTCCCTGTCAGCTCCCTCCTGCACTGAATTTACTTATGCAGTGGTTAAAAGCCCTCCACAGTGCCAGCCAACTTTTCAAAAATTAAGCAGCAGCTGAGGCCCTGTCCAGGCCCAAACTATTCCCCCCCACCCCCACAATGAAGCACCCATCAACCTCTTCCTGCCTGTAGCCTCTAGGACAGAGCTTTCCAAACTGTGCGCCGCGACACATTAGTGTGTCGGCGGCAGTGTGTAGGTGTGTCGCACGAAATGCAGAAAATTTTGCGGAAGGGCACCGCGGAGCTCCCTTACTCGCGTCTGCTTCCCTTGGCCCCTCCCCCGGAACTGAATTACTGTGTCGCAAAATGATGCATGTCTAAAAAGTGTGTCACCAACATGAAAAGTTTGGAAAGCTCTGCTCTAGGACCAGTAGGAAGGAAGGGCAGGACCCCCAAAGGGGAGCACAGGTGTCAAGTGTAAGAGAAGCTTGCTGCTTGGGAGGGATAAAACCATGGATCTGGTGCCAAGGCTGCAAGCAGCAGGGTTGAGCTGAGTAGGGAGTCTGGGACAAAAGGTAGGGCCTCCAGCGAGGGAAGTAGCGATTTTTTTTTTTACAGAGGGAATGTGCTCCAGAGCTGCAGCCAGTGTCCTACAGAGCCTGAATTAGAAGCAGGCACCAGAGGCAGGCAACAGCCAGGGGCAGCATTAGGAAAGTCCCAGGCACCGAGCATTAAGCAAACTCTATTACAATTTCCAATCCCAGTCTTTGATGAGGGGAGCCCCCCTTGTGACCTATGAGAGAAAGGGCCAAGCCTGAGACTTTCCACCTGTGAAATGAACCCTGGTCCTGCTGGCCCTTAGCTTCTCAAGGATGTGTGTGACTCAGGACCAGATCTTCAGTTCCAGGATCCTGTCCTGGGCTGGGACTCTGAGCTAGGTGTCATGTCTTTCCCCCCGCAGTAAATCAGACTCACAAGCCTGTGTGAACAAAGGCAAGTTTATTGAGGTTAGACAGCCACAGAGAGGCACTCAAAAGCAGGAGTGTCTTCCTGTGCCTGCAGAGAGCCATGGCAGGCGATACAAATGCACATGCAGCCAGCGAAATGCACAACATGGGACCCCAGGCCCCATCTAGCAGCGGCCACTGGAAATGCAACAGGAAAGCCACAAGGGGCAATGCAAGGCAGCAGCAAAGAGGAAGTGGGGACAAGTGGGGCACTGGGATGCTGTGGACCCACCAGGAGGAGGGCAGGCAGAGGCAGGAGCAGATGGGGCAGTGGAGAACTAGATACTGGCAGGGGCTGCCCCATAGGACAAAGCTGGGCTCCCTGGATGAACTGGAGAGTCTCATTGGTAAACTGGCTCCCCACAAATAGCAGTGGACAGGTGGAGGGAGGGACCTGCCCACTACCCAGGGGGCAGGAGGCTCTGAGGTCCCAGGTTTATTGACTTCAGTGCCAGTACTCCTTCCCAGAGGCAGAAGTACCAAGCTGTGCCCTGGGCAGTGGCACCTCCAGTGGCTGGTCTGCAGTAGTGGCAGCTGCCTTATTGTGCCTCCTCTAAGTGGGTGCTTGGGACTGGTGCCTGGTCATCCACTCCTGGTTACATTACTGCCCCATTCTCTCCATAACAGACATGGGCATGGGATACAGGACCATCCTCAGGCCCCAGCCCAGCTCAGGCACCAGACCAGAAGATACTACTGAAACACAGAGGGAAGCTGGCAGAGGAGAATAATCAAGTCTGCAAAACCAGACTCAGTGCAGACTCTCCTCCACAGGAACAGCCCCAGGAGCAGGGGACCTCCCCTAGGCACTGCCTGGGATCACAAGTCCCATGGACCAGAGGTCCTAGTGCCACCCTGTGTTCCAAGTCTGTGGTGACATCCTCAGTGTACCGCTTCATGGGTGATGACAACTAGCCTACCAGTGTGCTCCACTGGATAGAGCTGAAAAAGGGGTGGGACTTGAGCTTGGCAACACCACCTCCTCCAGAGCCCAGCCGCCGCTTGGGGTCAAACTGCAGCAGCTGGAAAGGAGAGGGACAGTGTGTTAGGAGCAGGCATAGGCTGAGGTGCAGAAGCCCGGCCTTGGGCCAGTACCCCCTGCACCCAGGCACCTTGCACCCAGGATGGGAGTTGCTGCCCCTTGTCTCCCCCTCAGCTGGTTGGGCATCCTCACCTCGGTGAGCAGTGATGCAGCAGGCAGGCTGAGCCCCTCGGGCAGGTGCAGCTGGGTGTGAGGATGAATCCCTGACAGGTGGCACTGGGACAGTGGCTGTGGGATGCAGATGGAGCCAGTAAGAGTCCTGAGCAAGCAGGTGGTGGGTGCTGTGCCTCACCTGCCACTGCTCCTATCCCCACTGCAGTGACCTGGCAGCCTCCTGACCCTACAGCCACTCCCCTTCAGTGGGTAACATCCAGGCCCTCAGCCAGCCCCTCCTGAGGTTCAGGGAGGAGTGACATACTTAAGACACACAGTCCAGTCCATATCCTGGGGCTCCCTGGCTGAGCTGAGTCGTCATTTTGATAGACTAGCTCCCCATAGCAGCAGGCAGGTGGGAGGAGATCCTGGGTAGGCAGGAGGCCATGAGGTTCCAGGTTTACCACCCTCAGCACCAAAGCCTCTTCCCAGAGGCACTAGAAGAGGGGGAGCAATGGGACACCCACTTGGAGTGCTCTGTGGGGAGCAGAGTACCAAAACTAGGACTATCTCCCTCACGATCTACAGACCCTCAAGACTTTTGCACCAAAAGAAATCTCATGAGGTTCAATAAGGACAAGTGCAGTCCTATGCACCAATACAGGCTGGGGACTGACTGGCTAACAGCAGCTCTGCACGAAAGGACTTGGGGGTTACAGTGAACAAAAAGCTGAATATGAGGCAACACTGTGCCTTGGTTGTGAAGAAGGCTAACAGCATATTGGACTGCATTAGTAGGAGTGTTGCCAACAAGTCAGGGGAGGTGATTCTTCCCCTCTATTTGACACTGCTGAAGCCACATCTGGAGTACTGTGTTCAGTTTTGAGCCCCCCCACTACAGAAAGGGTGCAAACAAATTGGAGACAATCCAGTGGAAGGCAAAAAAAAATGGGTAGGGAGCTGGGGCACACAACTTATAAGGAGAGACTGAGGGAACTGGGCTTATTTAGTCTGGAAAAGAGAAGACTGAGGGGGGATTTAATAGCAGCCTTCAACTACCTGAAGTGGGGTGCCAAAGAAGATGGAGCCAGACTGTTCCCAATGGTGACAGATGACAGAACGAGGGGCAATGGGCTCAAGTTGCAGCAAGAGAAGTTTAGGTTAGATACTAGGAAAAACTCTCACAAGGAGGGTAGTAAAGCACTGGAACAGGTTATCCAGAGAGGTTGCAGACTCTCCATCCGCGGAGGTTTTTAAGACCCAGCTACACAAAGCCTTGGCTGGGATGATCTAGTTAGGGATGGTCCTGCTTTGAGCAGGGGGTTGAACTAGACAACCTCCTGAAGTCCCTTCCAACCCAAACTTCCTATGATTCTATGACTTCACTACCCTTCCTTACCCTTACCCCTGCCCCTGCCCCTGCCCCAGGACTGGGACGTGAAACCACTCACCATTCCAGTCAGCAGCTCATATAGCAGTGACCCAAAGCTCCACCAGTCGCAGGCCTCAGTCAGCTCAGAAATCCCACCCACTTCTGCAGAGAGTCAAAAGGCACGAAGGATGAAAGGAGAGAGAGAGTGACGCACATCCAAATCCCATGGGGGCTGTCTGCTGCCACCCTTGGGAAAGATCCTGGTGGGAATCTCCTGGTGATTCTTTCCCACAGGGCCTGATGGAGGGGAAGGAGCAGGCAGTGGATGGGTGCCTTACCTGGGGCACTATACAGTTCTTCCAGGGCCTGGCTGCAGCACTGCGGCTCCACCTCCGTCCATTGCCCAAAGAAAGTGAGACAGATGTGACCTGTGAATCAGCACCAGTGTTGGGCAAGGCCAGCAACTGCAGCAGGAACCATAGGCCCTCACCCCTCCCTCCTGGACCCTGTCCCTATGAATGGGAGGGGAACAGCTGGACACCAGCACCCCTGCCCTGCCCCCATGGCATGCAAGGCAGTTGTGCTCCAAGCCACAACAGTGCAATGGAGAGCAGCCAGGTCCCTCAGTGCAGACTTCTGGGAAAGGGGCAGTGGGTGTGACAGGCCTGCATCTGATGGAAGGGTGTTGTGGGAGGAGAGCCAAGCAACCATGGCACTGGCACAGCCCTGCTACTCTCCTGAGGAAAGCCAGGCCCAAGTGGCACCTGGAGAGCAATGAGCAGGTGGATAAATCAAGCAGGGGGGGTTGCTGCAGAGGGTTGAACTGCAGAATCCAGGCCTTCAGCTCTTGATCAACCCTGGGGACTGCTGGATTAACCAGGCCAGCTGATTTCATCCCCTCCCAGGGGGTCTCTTGAGGGATCTCCCAGATGAGCTATCGATGTTCTGTATGGCCAGTGTTGCTGTATAACCTTGTTCTGCCCCTGCTGTCCATATTTCTTAGAAGCTCCAAGGTCTAGAGCACAGAGGCAGGGCCTGAGCTGGAGGTGTCCAGATCCCACAGAGCAAAACACTGGGGAGAGAGACTGTGTGGGGGCTCAAGTTAGGTCCCCTTGCTGAGGGGCAAACCTCCCCTGCCAGTACACCTACCAGCAGCATCCAGCAGTAGGTTCCTAGGATTGAGGTCCCGGCAGAGTACACCCTGCTGGTGGAGTCCTTCCAGAGCCAGGAGCATTTCTGCTGCCCACAGCTGGACCTGCTCCTCATTCACGGCCCAGGCTCTTTGGCTATCCCCTTGGCAGGCCCAGCAGCCTGCAGGTCTCTGCTGTGCTGGTGCTAGCTTCTCCCTTTGTTGTCCTTTTCCATCTTGAACTCCTGAGATGCCCCCCACAGGCTCCTGCCACCCAGAGTCAGGCCTGTGGGGCTCACTGAAGCTGGGCCAGGTGGTTCCAGGCACCTGTTTCTGTCCAGGGGGAGCTCGTGGGGACCATGTGGGCTGAGCCTGGGGCCCATTAGACATTTGCTGATACAGAGGCTCTTTCTGCACCAGGCTGCCATTTCTCACAGCCTTCAGGTTTTGAGCAGGGATCTGGGGAAGCCTCCCACTAGCCAGCAGCTTTGGATCCTGCCAGGGAGCTTCTCTTTCCAGTGGGCTGCTCACACCCTCACTGCTGGTTAGCAAGTCATGTGGATGGGAGGCCAACTCCTGACTGTTCAAGGCACGGTGTCCTTTGGTCATCACCATGACAACAGGATTGGGGTCACTGTGCAGGGTGCATGATGCACTTAAATCCTTCCCTGCCATGACAACCCTGGGGCCACTGGCAGGTCCCATATGGAACATGTGGCGGGTCCCTGCTCTTGCGTCGGAGGGGTCAGGTGACTGTTCCTGGGCAGGAGCCTGGTCAGTGTTTTCCAGTGGGACCTGAGTCTCAGACTTCAGGAGGTCAGTGCCATTCCCAAGGCCAAGGTTAGAGCTTTGGCTGGACCCAGAGCCAGGCCCCCAAATGTTTCCTACCACCCCTTCTCCACTGTAGCTTCCCAGAGCTGAGCTGGGCTTTGGATGTGGGGGACCAGAGCCATAGGAGAGACTTCGCCGTAAATGAGACCGAGAGCGGAGATGGGACCATAGTGTCCCACCTGGAGAGTGAAAGGAAGGAAGTGTGAGAGGGAGCAAAGCAGAAATCCAGGTGCCCACTGCAGATACCTCCAATCCTGAGACTCCAGCCACTAGCTATCCTGCCTGGCCTCCAGCCTGCAGGGCTCAAAGTGTCAGCAGGCCTCAAATCTGAGCTGTTCATACTGAGCAGCTCAAATCCACCCAGAAGATGCCCTGACCTCACCATCCCAAAGTACTCCTCTCTACTCCTCCCTCTGGTCCCTAGGTAGCAGCATTCCTGTGTCTTTATCCGAGGTTCCAGTTCCATCCCTACTGCCTGGCTCCCTTCATCTCACCCAATCTGTCTCCATCCGCCAGCCCAACCCCATCTTCACCTCTCCTCAGTCCACACTCCTAGCATCCTCATTGCTCTCTGCCACAGGCGGCCTTCCCAGCCCTACAGAATGAAGGAGAGGCACTGTCCAAGACTGAAGACTGAAAAGGAGGGATGCTTGACTAAACTGGTCAACTATACTAGGGACTAGGCCAGGATGGTATCCAGCCAAGAGACTTCTGTCAGATCTTCTACCAAGAATGTGCAACCTCTTATTAAACCAGCAACTGTGCAGATTCAGTTCACTGGTGCTATAGAAACATGTGGGAGTAATTCAGATTATTCCTTCCAACATGTATCACAATGTGCTTGTCACCACTAAATTCCATCTGCCATTGTGTTGCCCATTCTCCCTGCTAGGTCCGCTGGGAGTGACCTTGTTCTTCTCCTGCACCCATTTACATAAAGTCTTGTTAGCTGTGAATGTTGCCACTTCACTGCTTGCCCCTTTTCCAGACCATCAGTAAATCCCTGGGTCCATTCAGCTGTACTGTACATTAGAGGGATCCTTTCACTTTATGTTTCCCAAAAACTGGGTGTTTTACTTTCTGTCACTCAGCCAGTCTCTGACAGAACTCTGCCCATCTTCCCATGATCTTTCTTAACAAACTGTTGTAAGACTCTGTCAAAACTTTTTTTTTTTTAAATCTGCATAACGTGCCTCACTTAGTTCTCTTTTCCTCATCATGATGTTGCTGATACATCCCAGGAATTCTGATAGATCTGAGGGACATAACTGTCCCCTACAGGCATCCTGCTAGTTTGTCCCCATCGTGTGTCCAGTCTCCCATGCCACAGTGGGACAACAGACACTAGAACATCAATGGTCTGCTCTATTCCAAACATTTCTGTGTTTCCATGAGCCCTTTGACCATTTCCACTCCCTCCCCTGGACTCCATGATCCCAACAACCCTGCTGCTACTACATATTGACCCATCCTCACACATGTTCCATGGACCTATCCCTATCCTATTTCCCCAGCCACATGGATCTCAGCAGCCCCTTTCTCAAGCTGCTGGTGATGCTCAGTGGTTCATGCTGTAGGTTCTCTGAGTCCTGTGGTCATCACCCTTGCAAAGGGAAAGCTATACTTTATAGTCACTGCAGAAAATAACCCCAGACAAACAGAGAAGCTTAGATTAGCTCAACAGAGGGGAGGTGGTTGGTGGATATAGGGTCAAGGACATGGGGGGATGGAGACAGTGCAGGACACTGGCTCTTGCACTCACCCTGCACATGCTCCAGGTAGAGGAAGATGGAATCCTCACTCATGTAGTAGCGCAGTAGTTTGACCATGAAAGGGACACCATGTGGAATGATTGTCTGCTGCTCGCGGGTCTCCACGTGGGACTTGGGGAGGCTCTGGAGGAGAACACAGAACTGGGAATTTTACAGCTCAGAAATATCACTGCCTCCCTGGAGACTGGCTCCTCGCCAAGGCAGGAGACCAGATTGGAGAGACTGATCCCTCCCATTCTGACAAATGCCCTGTTTCTGCCTCATGGACTGATGACCACCATCATACAGAATGGAGCTCTCCATCTGCTGAGCTTCATAGTCCTCCATCCAATACCCAGGATACCCCTTCCTATCCATGCCTGGGTTACCACAAAGCTCTGACAACACACATTATTCTTGGTCTGTAACCCCCATCGCTATTCCAGTACCGGCCCCTGCCAAACTTCTGCCCATCTACCTCAAGCTGATTCTGAAATCTTTCTGCTACTCTAGTCCTCTCCACCTTCTCTGCTCTGGCTGATACCTCTCACTTTTCCCCTGCTTCTATTCTATACCCCACTCTTACTACAGTCCTGGGCTCTTAATGGGCAGTTGCTGACAATCATTCCCAACTGTCCTGTTTAAATGCCCTGGGCTCATGGCATTTGTAATCCATTCCGTGTTTCAATCCAAATCCACATAACCCCTGCCCCCTCAGCTCCAAATTGAGTTCCATGACAAGGATAGTTTTAAGAAAGAGGATGAATTCCCCTCTCACTGCAGGAGATGATGTGGGAGTGGAGGACGGGCTGGGGGGGGGGGGGGGGGGGGGGGGGGGTCATGCTGGAGCATGGGAGAGACTTCAGAGAAAGTTCATTGGTCATGTTTATATAATTCATTTCTGATGAAAAGCCCCAAACAAAGTACTGAAAAGCATTTCCCATGAATCCTTCAGGTCAGGCTTATCCTGGATTATCCCCTACCAGAGGATTTCCCTAAAGGCAGGGAGAGGGATGAGCAGGAAACACCCACCTTAAGTATAAAAGTTCCACCAGTGGCTGGATCCTGAACTAGCTGCACCTGCAAGCAATTCAAGACAATACAGATCAGACCTCTGTCACCCACACCCAAACAGCTCAGACAGACATTTAAAGAGTCATTTGAGTCTCGAAGTTGTCTCTTTTTGCACCAGTTTGGTGTTCTTCCAGCCCCTGTACTTATACTGCTGACCAGTGGTTTCAGATACAGCATCATGAACCAGAGATTACAAAGTGAATCCCACAGCATGTTCCACTTATCAATCATTATTGACATTCCTCATTCTGGACTCCCTTGCACTCTCCATCCGAGGTCTGGGCCTTGGGAGGCTGAGAGGAATGTCCTCACCCTACTGCAGTAGGATGAAGAGCAGGCAGAAAGGAGCAAAACCCATCACCCCAAATTCTAGCACTCAGGGTGGGAAGAGGATGACTTGCTGAGGGTGCAAGGAACTAATTAGCTCCATCTTCCCAAGAGAGGGACTTCTACTGCCATCTCTGGTAGCTAACAGGTATCACCCAGGTGCCCTGGCTTCAGTTGATGGAAGTGAATTGCCAGGTTGGAATTAGGGAAACCAACTGCCTGGTTTGTAAATATCTTAGGTCTCCTAACAACCACAAGTCACTGAGACACCAGCATGACCTTTCAGCTAACAGCCAGAGCTCCTAGCAACACAGCCTCTGTCACGTCTGCACTAGGGCTCAGCACTAGCCCAAAGGAGAGCATGCACTCAGCCAAATCATCACTGTTATTGTGCAGAGCACACTGCCCTCCAGTACTACTCAGGGACACCCCCCCTCTCACAGAGTCACCCCCATCTTAGCACTAGGGTTTCTATGATGGGAGGACTGTGGGCAAATTGCACCAACCCAACTTGGTAGGCACAATGTGAGACGCTTGTAGTCTCCAATGGTCCTGGCTGCCAGGACCTGTGGGGACCTGCTGATCCTGGCTCAGGCACTTCATTACCTTTTCAATCACTCCCAGAACCTTACAGCGCCTCAGGTTCTCCACTGGTGAGCTGAGTGTCCTGATTGGCCGAAAGCGAAGGCTGCTGTAACCCTGAGAGCCAATAAGAAAGATGAATGAAGAACTGGGAGATGTTTTCGGAGATCAAAAACCCTGAGGAACAAGAATCCCACATCCCAGGAGAAGTAAAGGCAACCCGTTATGCACACACAAAATAGCAGGTTGGGGTAAGATGGTACCTCACATCCCCATCTACCCAGCTCTTCCTTTCTCTCTCTCCTGCCCCAGCCTAAGCTATCAGACTGTCCTACCCAAAATCCTGCCAAGCTCTCCTTCCCCACTTCCCCCACAGTCTTCTGCTTTCCCTGGTCTCTGTACTTTAGTTTGCACAGAACTTCCCACTCTTCCTGTTCTATGCACTCTAGTTTGCTTTATCCCAGGGGTCAGCTACATATGGCCCAGAGGAAGGATATGGCCCATGGAGTCATTGGATTCAGCCTATGAACTGAGCAGGGTGGAGAGGGAGCTTTGCCTGTGTTGCACCACACCAGTGCAGCCAGGCAGGGTAGGCTGCAGGTGGGCAGCAGGGCACTTTGCACACACGCATGGCCAGGCAGCAGAGAGGCTTTGCCCACACCATGGCCAGGCAGCTGACAGAAGCAGCAGTGGCAGCAGCAGGCTAGGTCAGAAGCACTGACCCACCTGGGGTCTGAGCTAGGCTGGTATGGCCTGCAGCTCCAAAACTCTTGCCAACTGCTGTTCTACCCCATACACTCCCCACATCCTCCTCACACTGCCCTGTCCCAGTCCCTTTGCTCTTCACATCCCCCTGACCTTTCTTCTCCTCTCATCCCCACGATCCTACAGCCCTGTAGTTTCATTTCCTGCTTGTACACATTTCCCAGTTGACTCTGCCTTTCATCTGGTTCACAAAAAGAGATGGGGATCACTGTTTTAGCTTAGTGAAGCTTAGCTTCAATTCCTTTGGGAACAATGAAGAATACAGCCTGTACTTACTAGGGCCAGCCATCTTAAGTAAGGGCACCCTGTGGCTTCAGTCATATTGAGAACCACAGGAAACTGCAGCCATTTTCAGTCATGACAAAAAATCAAGATAAAATCCAGGTTTAAACTAAAGCACCTAAAATGAAGAGTGCCTTGCTAATGACACAGTCAGTCTCAACCAGTTCAGATCCTCACCTCTGGAGCTGGATGAGATCAAATCTATTTCAGCCACCATCTCTCTCTCTCTCTCTCCGAGATGCCAACAATATTCTGAGCTGGCACTGGATTCAGGCTTAGTTTGGGCTTGTTCATAGTTTCATAGTTGGTAGGGTCGGAAGGGACCTGAGGAGATCATCTAGTCCGACCCCCCTGCCATGGCAGGAAAGAGTACCGGGGTCAAACAACCCCGGCCAGATGTTCGTCCAGCCTCCTTTGAAAGACCCCCAGGGTAGGAGCCAGCACCACTTCTTTTGGAAGTTGGTTCCAGGTCCTAGCCGCCCTGACAGTGAAATAGCGCTTCCTGATGTCTAGCCTTGTCCAACAGAAGCCTTTGGTTCCAGGCTGAGTGGAGAACCTGCAGGGCTCTGGGAACTCAATACAGAGGTTTCATGGGCAATCTCCTTGGAGAACCTTGTCCTGAGTCAGCTGTGCTGCTAAACTTCTCCCCCGCTTTCCTGGCTAGCAACATAATAATGATCTTTTCTGTCTAGCTTCATGCCTGACAGAGGCACAGCCCAGACCTCCATTCACACAGCTGTCATCCCATGGATGGAGATGCTGCACCCGAGATACTGCAATGGTAGGGCAGTTTAGACAAGACCTTTTACTTAACTCAACTGCAGCTATTCCTTGAGTTTACTGCTGCAGGCTGCAGGAGTGAGGAGGAACAGCCACTCCTTTGGAGCGCTCCAGAAATGGCTATCCCAGGAAGCAGTCGTTTAAGGTGCTGAGAAAGCGTTTCACTAAACCTCGTCCCAATGCAGTACCCAAGGTGGCCCACATCTGATGTTTGCTTAGGTTGACTAGTCTCTGATCCCCCCACCAGCAGGCCTTGTATATCTTCCCTGATCAGAAAGGCAGTGATAACATCCTACAGGTGTCTGTATTCTCAGGACTTGAAATCTATCTGCTGCATTTTCTGTCCCATCCCCAGCCTGCCTGCCTCACACTCATCCCAGTCAACCTTGCTTATAGAGTTGCTCTCGAGGATTGACAGCACCGCGTATGCTGTATGTGTTGCACCCTGAAGATCCAGCCAAGGCATGTGGTGAGCCCTTGGGAAGCCATTTCTCAGGCCCCAGCTCCTCACCGTGGCATTGGGGCTCCCATTCCCCAGGGTTCGTTGGAGGTGGCAGTTGAAAATCTCCTCAGCACGTTTGAGGTACTGTGTGATCTTTCTCTTCACAGCCTCACGACGCTCCTTGTTGGGGTCAACTGTGCAAAAGGGTGGGCCACATGTTAGTCACAGTGCCAGCCTCCCACTGCACCCTACCCCCAGCACTTCTCAGCAGTATGGGAACATAGAACTGGAAGGGGCCTCCTCGACCATCAAATTCCTTCCATGTGTAGTCAGTTGTTAACCAAAAGTGTCCTCAAAATCCCCATGGCAAACCCTCACCCACAACTGCAAGCAACAGTAGCTGGAATGCCAAGAACACCCTTGGACATACCCTTGGGGAAAGCAGGAGAAATGTCCTGCTGCTCCAGCCACAGGAAAGTAGCTGGTTAATATATGCTCAGAAGATCCTAGGAAAGGGACTATGCCCCACACTACAGAGGAAGGCAAAAACCCTCACAGTCCATGTACTCTGGCCCCAAATTTGGCAACCAATATAGATTCATAGAGTCAGAAGGGACCCCAGTGGGCCATCTAGTCCGACCCCCTGCTCCTGGCATGCAAGAAAAGAGTCACCAACCCTGGGGTCATGTGATCCCAGCCAGGTGCCTGTCCAGTCTCCTCTTGAAGACCCCCAAGGATGGGGTGAGCACCCTTGGGAGCCCATTCCAGATTCTGGCAACCCTGACCATGAAGAGCTTTCTCCTAATGTCCAACCTAAACCTTCTCTCTAGTAACTTATGGCCATTGTTCCTTGCCGTTCCAGGGAGTGCCCTGGTGAACAGATCGCCTACTTGTTGCTCTCCCCTTATGAATTTGTATGCTGCCACAAGGTCCTCTCTCAGCCTTCTCTTGGAGAGGCTGAAGAGGTTAAGGACCCTTGACTTGTTCTCATAGGGCCTTCCGTGCAGGCCTCTAATCAGGCAAGTGGCCCTTCTTTGGACCCTCTCCAGGTTGTCCGCATCCCGCTTGAACTGCAGTGTCCAGAACTGGACTCAGTACTCCAGCTGTGGTCTGACCAGTGCTGCATAGAGGTGGAGGATCACTTCCCTGGACCTGTTTGTGAAGCACCTACTGATGTACGACAAGGTGTGATTGGCTCTGTCAACTGCTTCATCACATTGGTGACTCATGTTCATCCTGGAGTCAACAGTGACTCCAAGATCTTTTTCTGCCTCAGTGAAGCTGAGAAGGTCGCCCCCCAGCCTGTAGGTATGATGGTAGTTCTTCTTCCCTAGATGCAGCACCTTGCATTTATCCTTATTGAATTGCATCCTGTTACTCTCTGCCCACTTCCCCAGCCTGTCTAGGTCAGCTTGGATCTGGTTCCTCCTCTCCAGGGTGTTAGCTGCGCCCCATAATTTTGTGTCGTCTGCGAATTTGGACAGGGTGCTTCCCACCCCTTCATCCAGATCACTAATGAAGATGTTGAACAGCACTGGCCCCAGAACTGAGCCCTGAGGGACTCCACTGCCCACAGGTTGACACCGACCCATCCACTACTACCCTCTGAGCACAACCCTTGAGCCAATTTGCTACCCATTCTACCGTATAATCATCCAAGGCAAATCCCCACAGCTTATTTACAAGGATGGTATGGGATACTTTGTCAAAAGCCTTCTTGAAGTCCAGATAGATAACATCCACCTCGACTCCTGCATCTAAACAATTGGTGGCCTTGTCATAAAAGGAAACTAGGTTAGTCAGGCAGGACCTGCCTGCTAAAAACCCATGCTGGTTACCCCTCCACATCACATTAGCCAGTGGGCTCCCACAGATGTGCTCCTTGATAATTTTTTCTAGGATTTTCCCTGGGATAGAGGTAAGAATGACTGGTCTATGGTTCTATAGATATGATTCTGAGCAGAAAAGTTAGACTCTTTAGCCAGGAACCTCTGGGTTTTCTAAGCACCAGCTAGAACATTAGCATCTCCCAGTCAAATTTCCCTCCCACCCTCCAGGCTTAACTGTAGCCAGCATCTCAATGCCTCAGAGAAAGGATAAAGGAACGCCTGCAGGTTCCTGAGTATCCCCAAACATGATACTCCTCATAGCGTCCCACCCTCATGCCACATCCCAATGGCATGCCCCTCGCACTGTAGCCTGAACGGCCACTCCCTTAATACACCAACCACTCCCAAGGCTGCCCCCAAACACATCAGCCAATGGCTACTGCACTTCACTCCATCAGCCACTGCCCTCTTCCTCCCTCATCCCCTTGCCTGACAGAGAATCACTTCCCCATTCCCATCGACTGACCCACTCTGCTCCCTCCCGTGGAAACTGGTCTTGGTATCATTTCCACCACCCCCTAGTTGTGAACACAGCAACCATGTTAATAAAACTCTGCTGCATCGCTGCACCTTGCCCAGTGCTAAGATGTACCTCTGAGCCACCTACATAACCCTCAAATTCCCAGAGCAGCCCACATAGCCACTGTGCACCCCTGCCCCATGTTTAGAGTGCCCCTGCTCCTCCCATGCTACCAAGGCCATGTACACCGTGTTCCCTGCCTCCCACAGGCCCCCCCCCACCACAAGCCAGCCATACCCTGCACACCACTGAGCAGCACGTCCACACCATTCTTGTAGTGGTTGAAAGCCTCTTCGTAGTCCTCACTCACATCCCGCTCCAGGGCCAGGTGGATCTGCTTTGCTGCATCCACCAGGTAATCACGCTTCCCAGCTCCATGCCCATCAAGGCCTCCCGGAGAGGCTCGGCTTCGAAACTGTTCCAGGTAAACACGAGCCTGGGAGAATGCCCGAGAGCAGGGCTCTGAGTCCAGGCCCAAAGGGCGCTCACGGATGACTCTGCTCATGGCTTGACTACTCTCAAGCCATCCTTAGTAGCTCAGCTCCCACAGTCCTGCAACAGAAAGAAGAGAGACAAAGGAGAAGGAAAATCTGGCCCTGCAACCCTAGGCTGGGGAATGAGATGGTGCAAGGGCTGTGGCAGAGCTGGGGAGGACAGAAGGCGGGGGACTGAGGAGCAGGGAGGGGGCTGCAGATGAGGGTTTGGGCATAGATGCACCAGCCAAGATGAGTCAGGAGTAAAGCCCTCAGCTTTAACAGACCTGTAGAGGGGCCAGGACTGAAAAACTCATGCAGAGCTGTGGCTAAGGCCCCATGTTCTCCTGGAAGCAGAAGTGAAAATCTGCTCTGGCCTTTCATCACTGGCCATGCAACCACCAACCAAGCAGGAAGTGGAACAAGAGATGCAAACTGCAGGGCAGCACAAGAACTAACAGGCTGGGTTCTAGCTGCAGGGCCTCTGCACTCAGGCTCAGGGTCAACCATCTATCCAGCAGAGATGGAGTGAAGGATCGATGCAGAGCTCTGAGATCAGGGCACAAGGGGCTGTCACATGGATTCCATTGTGGCTGCAGGGGCTGAGATGCAGATCAATCCTGCAGACAACAGACACTCACTCCAGCTGCAGAGGTCATTCAGTAATAAGCGGCCTCCCCATTTCCCTTTGTCAGGAGCACTCGCAGGACTCCAGCATCATTCGCAGATACGCAGTGTTACAGCATGCAGGGCTTGATGCTGACTGGCTCTGCTGGACCCCAGCTGCTCTGAGCAAAGTGCTGCCAGAAGGGTGCTCATTCAGGTGGCACCATCTCCTGCCATGACAAAGGCGCTGCTAGAGAGATGCCAGCACCGAAATGGAAGAAGGGGCCCCACTACGTGGCAGCAAGCCCATCCCTGGCAGCACAAGGGGAAGGAGATGCGGAGGGAAGCCCCACTGCTTCAGGTGAATTGCCCTGGTATCTGATCTCAAGGGACCAGGAAAGGGGCTCTGCATCCTGTCATGGGCTGATGCAGCTGTGGGAGCAGCCAGGATGGGAAGAGATGGCCAGGAGCTGGCAAACCCCATGCCCCAGAAAGGACAGTACCTGTTAGAGTCATGAGCCTGGTCCCTGGAGGTGTAGGGACCACCTTGTCTCCATCACGCTGCTACCCACTTTCCTCCGCCAGCTCCCAGCCTCTCAGGTGCAAGCTGTAGAGTGGAACCCCACAGCTGCTCCGATTGGCTGCAGATGAGCTCATCACCCTGCCTTTAGAATAAAACACCAATCGACAGAGAGCTGGAACACTTGGCTGCATCTTAAAGGGGCAGAGCTCAGCAGGAGTCTGAGGGCTGGGTAGCCAGTGCCTCACAGAGAATCTTGAGACAAAGTAGATTTGCATGTATAGATTAAATGAGGGGTGGGTGTGTATACATGTATATATGTATGAGTCAGCAGGACCACTGCTGGGCTGCAAGGATCTGGAGTGAAGATGCCTGGGGAAAATACTGCCCCGGAAAGGAAAACAGAGGTCAGTTGGCACTGCAGGGACTGGATGGGGTGGGCATGGGGGTTCATGCAGCTGGGGACATGTTTACCAAGACATCAGGAAATGGGGATTGGCAGAGCAAGTGGGTCCAGTCATACAAGTAGGGGGATGAAACTGAGCTAGTCTAAGCCCCTGGCCTGTTGCCCAGCTGCCCTACTGTGACATGCATGATTTATCAAACAGATGAGGGCCCAAGCATTGGTGACCCCTGCCCCACAGGGCAGCACAGAAGCAATGATGGGCAGTTCAGCAGCAAGGGAGTCCTGGGAGATAAGGGAAAGGCAAACAGCCAGGTCAGGGGCAGGGGTGCACCTGAAGGCCCCCTGGGAGGGTACAAGGTAAGAAGCCAGACACTGGCAGGGAATGGACAAAACTGACAAATGTACTGAACCACTGGAGTAGCTGGAAATTAACCCCTGGGAAACCAGATGGACCTGAGAGACTTCTTTCCCATGTTTGGTGAGGAACCATGAGAGACCTGATAGCCCCGAGTGGTATAATCTGGTAGCCCAGAAATGTAACTGCACATGGTCCCTGCTTCCAGAGCATAAACAGAGGGCAGCCTCCCACCTCTTTCCTTAGCCCTTCTCTGGAAAAAGAAGAAAGAGGCCAGAGTACAGGCTGGATGGGAGCTTCTAGCTACTCCAGCCTTGTTGCCTATAGCACCTCCTACAGCCAAGGAGAAGAGGAAAAAGTAGTAGCAGGACAAGGTGAATAGTGCTTCTCAGAAGGCACAGGCCAGAACAGCCACTGGTAGGGAGGTAGGGGGGGAAAAAAAAAAAAGAGAGAGAGCGCGAGAGAGACGGTTGTTTGCACAGCTGGCTCCTGGAGTTTACAGCAGCTTTATTTCAGAGGGGCATAGGATTGGATGGTGCTGTGCTACAGCCAGGTGAGAGCCCTAGGGACTGTGCTGCATACAGGGTGCTGAGGTGGCCTGGGGCTCCCAAGCCTGTGCTTCCCTTCTCCCACCCCATGGGAGGTAGGATCCAGGCCAGCCCCCATCTTTGCTTACTGTTTTTTCTCCAGTGTTGCCTTTTTTCCACAGCAGTGTCAGGGGATGTTGCACTGGAGGCCTGAGCTAGGCTCATGTTTCTGCAACTGTGCAGTCCTATTCCCAGCTGGCAGCTCAGGGACAGGAGGCTCTGTGATGAAAGCACAGACACCTGCAGTTGACAGCAGTAGGGAATGGTCCCAATGCTGCAGCCCATGGAACAGGTACCTCCTCAAGCTCTGACCCAGACTTGGCACTGCAGAATCTAAGCTTCATTTACAGGCTCAGCTGAGCTCCATCCCTGTGCTCCCCTCCCTTCACCATGGAGGGGGCAAAAACTGTGCGCCTCAGCCCCACTGCTCCTTCACTGTGCTGTGATCCTGATTTTGGCTAGAACAAAAGTCCTTTAATCTGAGCTGTTAACAATACAGAGACTCTTGGGAGGGCCCTGCAGCTGGGCTGGTGAGTGGCTTCATCTTGTCTTCTTCACCTGGAGCTGTTTCCCTGCAGGTAGCCAAGCAAAAGTCTGGCTTGTCCTCGCCAGCAAGACTAGGCAGTGCCACTTCCTCATCATCACTCACTTGCAGCTTCCTGTCGGCTTGGAGGGTCACAGCTCCGAGGTTACCAGTGGGCCCACAAGGTTTAGTCAAGGATGCAGCTGGCACACAAAGGCCAGAGTGGGCTGGGTAATAAATACAGGCACTGTGGTGCTCCCCTCTCCTGCTGAGGTGGCTACCTGCGTGGAATAGTGCATCTGCAAGGAGAGAGCACAGACCAGGGTAAGTACAGCAGGTGTGGGGAGAATGAGTTTGAATAGCCACTGGGAGTAAGAACTCCCAGGCTCTACTGGTTTTGGGCTCTGCCCCAAATTCACTGGGTGGCCTCAGGCAAGGCCTTCAATCTCCCCACCTGTGGAACAGAGGTTGTGAGGCTGAGTTGTTTCCCCAGAGGTGGAAGTGAGTGCCAGGGGGGCAGAGGCAAGGACCAGAAGGGTTTATGTGAACAGCTGTAAAAGGTACTTTGAGAAGCTGGCAAAAGGACACAGGGTTACACCTGCCCCTGTGCACTGGGACACAGCAGCTTTGCTCTAGGTGCTAGCTTGTCAGTCCTTAGCCCATCTTGGGCAGCAGGCTACAGCCAAGATAGCCACCACTGGGAGAGGTGAGCAGAGGCCTGCATTCAGTAACATCCAAGGTAACAGGAGTCCAACTCAGCCTGCAATATCAGAATGTTTATAGCAGTCAGCAGAAGTTCTGGACAGAAAGACTGGACTAGTCCAAACAAGGAGGCAGATGGATGCCACCCAAGGACTAGGTTAAGGTTGTGACTGGCAAACAAAGAAAGAAATAAGAAAGTAAATTCAAGCCAGTCTCAGAAGCTACACTTGGTAAAGAACATGAGAAAGTGGTCTGTTCCCTCCAGAACTCCCCTTTTCTGAAGAATTGAAAGGGAAAGTTTTTGGGATAGCAAAAAAGAGGCAGACTGGTATCCTGGTTTCCCTGGGAAGGGCCAGTGGAGCAGTGCAGGAGCCAGAGATTCGGTCCTTCAGCAGTGAACCTCAGTTAGTGGGATGTCAGTGGAACACCCAACCACCACCACTAGATCACAGATCCCAGTACTGTAGAGTCTTATTTTGCTTGTTCTTTCCATCCCTCACTGCCCCCACCTCTGTCAGCTTATCCAGAAACCAACAGCACAGCATGGCAGTAGCACGGCAGAATAAGATGTCCCATGGAGATCTGCGTAGCCAGAGGCACAGTATGGGTGGCAGGGGGCGGGGCGAGGAGGAGGAAAGCCACCTGACCAGAGCAGCCAGGCAGCATCCCAGACTAAGAAGCATCTCCAGCAACTGTTGTCAAAAGCCACATGCCTGCTAGCTCAGAGCACAACTAACTAGGCACCTTTTATTCCAAGATCAAGCTGTGTTTTCCTCCACCTTTGCTGTCCTCCATTTGCTAGCCCTTTGTGCTCTCTGTTGTTCAAGAAGTAACCACTGTTTGTAGCAATCCACTCAAAATTCACCAGGACTATCCTTTGAGAGCTGCTTAATGCACTAAAAGACTGATTTCTTCTAAGAGGAATTTGGCTAAGCCTGGGGGTAGTTTGTTGTACACAGTACCTTGATTTTTGGAGTGCTCTGTATTTTGTTTGTTTCTCTCTGGTGTGCTCTAATAATCAGCACATAGCCAGACTCTGCCATGAATGCTCTGCAGTGGGACAAGGCAGACTCCACTCAAAACTGAGCCTTCATTGTTTACAGCTGTAGTGACAAGGTTAAGTTAATGCCTCCAACTTGTGACCTGGTTATTCCACAGGGATTAACCCAACATAACCAATGCCTCTGCCCCTGCCCCTTCCTCTGAAATTAATGCCCACTTACAGGTCACAGTCTTTAGATCTCTTCTTTTCTTGTCTTTTTTTGCCTCTGCCCTTGTGTCTCCTCCTGTAAAAAGAGAAGGGAAAAAAAGGGGCTGAATGGACAGGAGATGAGCCAGGGCCCAACTCCAGTATCCCTGCTGGCATCACTTACCTTCCTGACTTTAATGTGTCCCGTCGAGGCCTGGAGAAAAAAGGGAAGGGAGTAAGGTAAATCACACTCAGTACACAGCATTAACAGAGCTCCTGGCAACTAGGAAATCATAGTATTAGTGGGGGTGAGGCGAGGGAAGAAAAATCTGGAAGGGCCCTCACCTAGTCCAAGCCATGCTCAAGGCAGGATCAACCCTGACTAAACTATCCCAGTCCAGCATTTGTCTAACCTGCTCTTAAAGTGTCCAGGGATGGAGATTCCACAACGTCTCTAGATAATCTGTGCCAGTGCTTAAATCACCCCCATAGTTAGCAGTGGTGCTATGGAAATACCAGAACAGACAGAACACACAGCTTATCAAGACCGGCTTCCAGAACCCCCACCTCAGCAGTGAGAAAACATCCTTATGTCAACACCACTGATGGCTCATGAGGCAAAGTCACAACAGAAAAGCATTAAAAGCATTTTTAGCCTCTTTTCCAGCTGCTACCTGGATTTAAAAAAAAGACAAAAACACGGGAAGAGCCAGGAGCTGGTGACCAGTCCACTGCAGTGTCAGCAAACCAGACTGACTCTCACACCCAAGCAGATATGTCCAAAAAATTCATTAGTTCTGAGAACCCAAAGCGAGTTCCTTTGCATTTCCCCCTGCCCCCTCCCCCATCAAGGCACTGACTTCAACTTAAATCAACAGAGGGGCTGCAGGTGCTCAGCCTCTCTCAAACCACACTTAAGAGGTTCAGAATTGAGGCAACTAAAACAAATCATAGGCCCTTTTGGAAGCAGGGTTTTCACTCATTTTTCAGTGCTCATAGCTATTAGGCAAGCTGGAGAAGAATCACTCCGCCGCTAGTGCTCATGACAGCATGGCCATTAGGTGGTGCTACCGAGCCACTTGGAAAGGAGCCTCACAATGCAAGTAGGTCCTAGTGTTTCGCAGCAAGATGAACCTGCAGGGTCTCTTCAGCTACTGATGAAATAGCTGCACAGGAGAGGAACGAGCCTGGACAGTCCATACCTGCAAGCGCACTGCCGGTGCTCAATAAAGGACAGCTCCACATAGGGCACTTGCCCTTCCGGCTTCATCCTCAGGAGCTAAAAGGAGGAACCAAGTTACCATCTGATCTTGGTGGCAAAGCAGATTCATTCCCCACCCCCTTCCTCCACTCTGCCCCAGCTCTATAGCCCTGGCAGAGAATGATCTCCAACAGTGCAGTGGGAGGGGGCCAGATTGAGAGCAGC